GCCCCTACTGGGGATTGAGCCTGCAACCCAGGCATGTGCCCTTGACTGGAATCAAACCTGGAACCCTTCAGTCCTCAGGCCTACGCTCTATCCACTGAGCCAAACCAACCAGGACAGCTCACATAAACTTAAACCTTGTTTATTTAGCCCGTGTTAGCCTTTGAGTTTGACATACTTGGTCTAAATCAGCGGTTCTCAACCTGTGGGCTGCGACCCCTTTGGGGGTCGAACGACCCTTTCAAAGGGGTCGCCTAAGACCATCGGAAAACACATACATAATTACATATTGTTTTTGTGATTAATCACTATGCTTTAAGTATGTTCAATTTTTAACAATGAAATTGGGGGTCACCACAACATGAGGAACTGTATTAAAGGGTTGTGGCATTAGGAAGGTTGAGAACCACTGGTCTAAATACTGGCCTGTCCCTAATAACAAAAAAGAACTGGAACATTTTAAGATTCAGAAGGTATTGATAATATACCCATAGAAACCCTTCACATCCACTTAACAGAGACTATAATAACGAAACCAAAACTCAAATCTGGATTTCCACCCACCCTCAACCTGTTCCACCATCTGGCAGTTAGTTAAAGCAAAACCTTAGCAGCCATCCATGATTCCCTTTTCCGGTACCCCCTACCTTCTCATCATCAAAAAATCTCACATCCACCCACTTTCCTCCACCACTGTACCTCATCTGAATCTTCCAAGTCTGATTTTTCTTTAGCTCCCTACAATCTGTTCCCCATACAGCAACCTCACTGACCTTTTAAATCCAGAAACTGTATTTTCAGACTTAGCCTTTCTACTGGCTTCCTAGTTACCTGAGAAGAAAACCAAAGTTTCTGAATGGGACCCTGTGCACCCTTGCCTTCCTCTCCTTTTATTTTCTGCCTCCTCGTCCAGGCCCTCTGGCCTCCTTACTCATCAAACGCACCAAGTTCTCACTATCTTGGGGCCCTTATACCAGTCCCTCCTCTGCACCTGCAGCTCCCAGGCTCAGGTGAACTTTCCTCTCATAAGTCCTACTGACCGGGGGGCCCCCTCTGAAGACTCACACCCAGTCTGGTATCAAACCTCCCTCATCAAACAGAACAAGGAGGGCAGGACCCCAACAGAATTAGTATTCAAATGTTCATTGAATGAATGAATGTTGCCCTTCATATTCATGTAAAATGATCATC